ACAAAAATTGCTTCCATATGCCACCACCAAGAAAGTGTTATTACTTATTCATTAGGTTAACTATCCTTAGAAAGCTAATTGATGTTTGTATTTAAAATGTAAGTATTATCTAGTGAATGACGAACATATGATGCAAAGAGAGTTCTTGAATTCATTTCCTAAAACAAAATATCATATCCATAATTTCCTAAGAGATAGTCAACCCATAAGTGGGAAATAGGAGGCATTCAACAACCTCAACTCTTCACTTCATATACAGACATACAGTAGAGAAATACTTTGGTGTATGCAAAAAGTGAGTAATTTTATATGATATTCCTACATATTATTTTGAAAATCAAGGGCAGATTTTAAACACTATAATGACATTACATAACTACATACAACAACATCATTCCTACCTTTGTGAGGCAAATTATTATTGCATATCACTATAAGTCCTCAATGAAAATTAAGATTTTGGACAGTGAGGGTGTTAAAGAGATAGTTGGGTTGTGAGATGTTATTGTATTTGCAATGATTAAAGAAGAGACATAGGTTACTTGTTAAGTTTATAACTGGACAACTTTTATGAGTTCACATTCCATACCAGCATAAGTAATGAATTAGTATTTTAAGGCTTGTTTTGCAGTGTTATGAAATATTTCTATTAGTGAGAAAATATTTTATTTGCATGATGTAAGCTGTCCTATTCATATATGGGCTCGAGGGTGCTAAAGAGATGAGTATTGTTCTAGTTTTTTTTTTTAATGATGGTATTTGAATAAAAGTAGTGCATTTTAGTCATTGAACAAACAACTACACTGAAACAATAACCATCCAAATATTAAATATCTTTCTAATATTTAAGACGCAACAATATGGATGAATTTTCCCAAAAAATATATATATAAAACAACTTCACTAATAGCTACTCAAAAACTTGGTTTTTCGCATATTAGTTTCATATATGGCTTTACTTTACAAGCAATAGTAGTTGCTAAAACACACCCTTAAATCCATTACACTTAATTATTGCTTTATCTTTTAGCAATACTAATTAAAAATTGTTAATAGCATACCTATTAAAATTACATATCATATAATTTCTTATACCAAACTTAAGCCCTTGTTCTTCTAAACATTTTATCTATTGCTCTATCCATTCATTATTTCATCAGATGTGGACATTGAGTAAACTATGTTATCTACAAAAACAATATACCAAAATACCTTAACTTGAATCACATTTATAAGCATCTTTATAACCAATGCAAAAAGATACAAACAAAGTGCTAATCCATGATGTAACCGATATGCTCACCATACTATTCAAATAATAGTCAATGGTCATCACAAATATCTTTTAATAACTTTTGATGGGGACATCAGATCATGGAAAGTATCAGAGACGTGGCTGATGATGTATGTCCACGACCACGCCGATCTATTTTTAAGTCTTCATATGTATTTGTTTTAATCATTTACTTTATGTATTTGTTTTAGTAGCATTTTTCGTTTTACCCTTACTTAAGGGTTTTGTCATATGTAAGCCCTAGGGAAAATGTCGTCTTTTATTTCCCTTTCATTGTATGAGGCTATATATAGGCCTCTTATGTTTCTTTTGAAGTTAATGAATGAATTATAATCAAATTCATGTAAATTGAGTTCTTGTGAGAGCTTGAGAGTCTTTAGAGAGAGATCCGTAGGAGAGGGAAGCAGATCACCCACCAACCTTGGAAGAGTCCAGGTTCGTGGCTATTTTCTTCTTATTTCTTCCTTGTCTTCCTCCCTCCCTTCCCTTCCATCCTTCGGCCCAGCCGCCCCTCCCAAAATCGCCGGCCACCCCCAAACCACCTCAACCGGCGGCCTCAAGCTTCTCCTCCCCTTGTGGTCGAGTCCACTCCCTCTTCACCCAACCGACCGCACCCCCCACCACCGAAACCGGCGGCCATCTAACCCTAGCTGGCCCCTTTGAATTTCCCCCATCAAAGCATACAATAAAGCCCTTCCTAATTGGGTCTTTATATTTTAGGCAACATAAGTAATTCATAATTCAAATCTATTTGAATTTGAATTTTGTTTCCTAAAATACAAGTTTAATTTTAGGAAAGTTTCCAAAATGAATCTTATTTGAATTTTAAATTAGATTGGAATGAAATCCATCCTTCCTAATTTAATATTCCAAATCAAGTAGGCTTGATTTCTTTCCCCAAACCCCTCTTCCTCTTGATGCCCCCCCCCCCCCCGCGTCCCAACTTGAATACTTTCCAAACTTAAAGCCTCTCTCCTTGGAAAGAATTCAAGGCCTCTCCCTCTCTCTTACCCGCCCCCTCCCTCTTTCCAAATCTCCCTTAAATCCTTTCCAAATTAAAGGATTAATTAGGGGAAAATTTTCTTAATTTCCCTCCATCCACCCTCTAAAATCTAAACTTAAATTCCCCCCCCAAGCCCCTACCTTCCAGCCACCCTCTCACCCTTTCTTCTCCTTGGATTCCTTGGAGAAACTTCTTTCTCTCAAGGGGAATCCACAGGGACAGCAAAAGAATGTCGTCTACAACACTTCAACACTACGAAACGAAACCTATGCATGACCGATCCTGAACTCGACTCCGGCTACAACAAACAAGGCTTCGTCGACATCCTCTGATCACCCTTCTCTGACGTCAATCCGGAAGTAGATAATTCCGTTGATGAATACTTGGAGCGTATCATATTTGCCCTTTCAGAAGCCATTGAAGAACAGCTTTCCACCGTTCAGTGGCAAATCATCGTTGTGCCTCGACAAGAGTGAACTTTTTCCCCTCTTCAATTTCCTTCCTAATCTTATTTGATTGCAGCTTATGTTGAAGTTCTAATTGTTTTGTGATCCCAACTATTACCGTGTGATTTGGCCTAAGCGGAGGCACCCCTCTCTTGTTTTTTATTATCGTTAAGTGGCTAACGTTTTAGTTCTTATTGCTCTTACTTAAAAGCTTGCAAATTCTTATTTCAATCATTTAAAGCATACATAGTCCTACATCAACTTCAGTTATATTAGCTCAATTTTTTACCCTAAATTGCACCAAAATAATTTTCATAGTATTTGATCATAAACCATCTCAAGGTTAAAAAAAAATCAAATAAAAATTATTTCCCTTTTTTATTTATTTTTCCATCAATTGATTTAGTACAAAATTTGCTTCCATAGTGTATTTTCTAGGCACAAAACCAAATAACTTTTTTGATACCAACATATTTTCTATGATTCATTACTCTCTCCAATAGGTCATAACCTTACTGTAAGACACATAATTTTAATTCTTTTATCATCAATAATCTTTTGGATCTTTGTTCTTAAATACCAATATCAAAATACTACTCTTATCACTTGATATATTCTAATTCTTAACCTTCAAATTTTTATTGAAAATTTTTTTATAGTCGAATAGCTGCAACATCACCTCATAGCTCTCATAATCCCAATAAGGATCCATCTAGATCTAAAGTTTAACCTTCATAATCTTTTGTCGAGCTAACATATATTCGAATTTTAGATTATATTGTATCTCATTATTTTATTTACTATCTTCTTCTAAATTAATTTCTTTCTTAAAACTCACGTTTAATAATTTCTCTACATGGCATTTTCATCTCATCTTAGCATTTTCATCTTTAACTCTAATATCAAACAAAATGAAAATTGCTATGTCTCTTATCTTTTTTATTAACAATTTCTATGTCTAGTTTAAATTTCCTTCATATATAGGTTATTGTGTGTGTGCATATCTAATTGTGCGATATGAGGCTCACCTTGAGGCCCGCCTCAACACAATTCACTGAAAAATGCCTCGAGGCTTACGCCTCAAGCTTTTATTATAATGCTTGCACCTCAACTTGGTTAAGGTGCACCTCGCCTTACTGGTGTGAGGTGTACACCTCACCCAATTTATATCTTTTTTTATTAAAACATGCCTAAATCCTAAATTAAAGCCCCGAACAAATCATGCCTTCATGAACCCCCAAGCCGCAACAACTTCCTCTCAACTGTCTTGACCTCCAACCCACCACCTTTGTCGTAGCCACTACCATCTACTGGGAATCACTTGAAAACCACACACCACCACCATCCTCTAAAAATTTTAGAGTATTATTCTCATCTTTATGTTGATGAAAAATATTTATGAAAAAAAAAAAGATTATTGAAATAAATGAAGAAGAAAAGATTGAGAGATATTGAACTCCACAGGAAGAGATAGGGTATAGACCAATTTGTTATGACGACGACCAAATAAAGGCTCCCTCAGTGATAACAGTGCAGATGATTTATGAGTTGTCAATTATGTCAGCTTTTTTTAAATTAAATGTGGATAAGTAGGGAATTGAGAAAGAAGGAATTTGAAGTTAAACTTGATTTTATAATATACTTTTAGGTAATTCATATATAATATGTTGTTTTACTCTTGTACTATTTTGAATTTCAATTCTATTTCACGCAATTAATCACTTGTCACTTTAGGTTGTGTCTCGTGTGCAACTTTTTATTTCATATGTATGCTAATTTGTTTTTCATAGTTCAATAGAAAGTTAATATATCATTATTTAACATATTATTTGGGTATTATAAAAAAATTACTTTTAAAATTTATTTTCACTTTACATAATTTTTTAATTTTGAGGCTTATGAATTTTCCATCATTCATATTGATATGGATGTAAGGATATCCAACTTGAAAAGCATGGGAACCTGCCCTTTTGCCACTAACAAATTTAGAACCAATACATATTTCCTGACATACCAAGAAGAAGTAAATTCACCCAATAACTTATGCAAGTGTAAACAAAAAAAATGGCAACCATTGAACTGTGAAAACCCCACATAACAGAGAAATTGATGAAATAGCCACAAAAAATGGCAGATAAGCCGGATCTCTGACAAAGTAGTTATTGCTTCTTAAGAACCAAGTACAGAAATACCAGTTCAAATAAAGATACAATTTCATAAAATATATGAAATAAGTATTCATTGGGGACAAATTTACCTATCCAGCATTCCATTCTTGCACAAGGAGATATTTTAATTACATCAGGAGGATCAACACCAATGTTTAAACACATTACAAGGGCCACGCAACTAGTCTTCATCTGCACTACAAAACTCATGATCAGACCAGAAAGATAATTGAAAGTCACTAATTCTAATTACGATGCCTGTAGTTTGGAAAAAACAAGATGCTAACAGGCATAACAGCATTTAAGAATGAAATTTTAAAGGTATTTATGCCACAGAGCACAAGCATTTATATATCAAGGTTTAAAAAGAAAAAGAAACGATGATATACAGCTAATAAGAGCCCGTATATATAATTTACTGCTATTAATTACATTATCTTTAACTTAGAAGTTAGAAGTAAACTTGGATCCTCAATGTAACGCTTATAGGAATCAAGCCACAAACTAGATACAAATGTGATAAGTCAATCAAGCATGAAAATTGATACAAATAAGAGACTAAAAAACTTTTAGGATTGACTTTAGAACCGTCTGAACTCTGATTAAAAAAATTTGATAGTCAAAATGAGCGTTTTGATGAGATAAACTCAACAATACTAAAAATGCCTTGATTCCAAGCCCAGATAAATCTAAATCAAGTCTTTTGAGTATAGCTGAAAACTTCACAATAATATTTGTGGAACAAAACGATATTTGAATATTGTGTGCTTGTAGTCAGCCCAAGATCACTCAATTCCAATGTCATCAAAATATTAAGCACCTATGAAACAATCTATGATGAGGGAATAAACACAAGTCGTCTGATAGAGTGTTTGATAATTTTAACTAAAAATAAAACTCCAAAAAATTATAAACAAATTAACAAATCATCATTCTTCACAAGAAAGGAACCTAAAATTAGAAAGAGCTTAGACATCTCAAGAATTCTAAAGCTCTATTCAACAATCGTCATTGCTTGGTTGTCGTCGTCATTGCTTGGTTGTCGTCACACAACAATCATTAGTTGACTATCATTGCCCGGCCACCATCACTCAACAAGCATCTCCCGAGCTCCATAATCCACTAGCAACACTAGCATGTATCGACTAAGAAATGTTTATTACCTCCAATATAATCCATCACTGTTTCTCCGATACTTTCAACTATATTCACATAAGGCAAATTATCAACTCACACTTTGTAATCCAATGTTCTCCAATTGAGGGAAAAAACATACTTTTGTTATATTTATTTAAATATTTGATTATTTCAACTAGGCCTTGTGGTTTTTTCCCTTTCCAAATTTTCCAAGTAGAAACTCTTCCACCTTTTGTTAACTTTTTTTATTTGTATGTGTGTGTATATTTGAGCAATCCTAAGACATAAATTACTCACTCTATTGCCACAAATTTCTAACACACAAAAAGGCAGAACTCTATGGTGATATTTGATAAGAGGCATGTGTAGACGGCTCAAGCAAAAATTATGTGAATGTATGCATGCAAATCTTAGTAGGTGCGCATTTAGCGCTGTTACTGTTTCCGTTCAAAAAAAATTGATCTTTGATTGGTGTCTACAATGCATCCTCCATGTGATGCAATGAACTTCGAGTATAAAATATAATATTCGGTGGGAAAGAAGGATCAGTCATAGATCAAGTCAAACTGCATAGGAAAGCAAGCTACGCTATTGATGCAAAGGAGCTTTGCCCAATTAGTGATATATTTTCTCATCGATTCCAATAAAATCAAATTCTGACACTCAAATGATCACAGGGTCCTTGAGTAATGCGGCATACAAAACGGATAGTTCACACTTAAGAGAAACTTTCTATTGTATGCTAACTGAAGAATCTATGTTTCTTGATCACCAGATAAAAATATCTACAAAAGAACTTTAATTATCCTCTAGCAAAGGTAGGTAAAACAAACACCCACGCATTATTCAGTGACCAATGCAGACATACAGCCGAAGAAAAAGAAAATAAAGCACCAAAGAAGAGAGAATAAAGAAACGTCAACTGGAGAAACGAGATGGGTCCAGTGCAAACGAGAAAATTTAATGAGAGCGAGAGAGAACAATTGCTTACTCTATCCTTGGGCCGCCATTTTGAGACCAATGCACTCTGGGAAGGCTTCATGGGAGCGTACTCCTCGAAGCACTCGTGCCTGAACTCGCGCAAAAATACCGCATGCGGTAAGTACGCCAAGCTTGTCGCTGCTGAACCTGGATCAGCCTCTGCCGGCGCCTCCGACTCCCTCGTCTGCCTAGATGAACCCCCATTCTCATGGCTGGAGAACTCATCAAAGTTTATCGACACCAATGCCGACGACTGTGAGAACAACCACGCCATCCGATCCCCCAATGCCATGCGATACCTCTCGTGGCCCTCAGCCCAGCCCTAGCCAGGCCGCCGGCATCCGCCCACTAAAGCAGCCCTAACAAATATCTGCCGACCTAGCGCTCCTCCCGCTCTGCGGATCGCGATTGTCTAATCGAAGAAACCGCTTGACCCGTGTCGCGGTAATCCTCGGAGAAACACGAGCCTTCCAGGTCTGGGACCCGCGAAGATCCCTCTGCCAACCTATTATTCTCCAGCGGCGGTTACGAAGGCAATGCGGAACGAGAATTATAGTAATTAAATAAAATTCATTTATTCGACTTCCACGGATCCCGCGTGACCTCGAATTTAAAAGGATTTTTTTATTAAATAACCTTTTCGGATTTATAAAAAATAAAAAATATTTATAACTATTTTAAATTAAAAATAAATTTAAAAAATATGCACATATAATTTTTCATTTTGATATAAAATATTTTGAAATATTTTTTTTCATAAACACAACTCACCTTTGTAGAAACTAAAGGAAAGAATATAGAGAAGACATCGAAATGACAAACTGATATTTCATTGTTATATGTTGTACAGTAAGAGTATTTCTGTTTATATAGAGCACAGAGAAACGTAATATGAATTAATTACAAGTAAACCTATGAATCTTCTAGAGCAGTAAACTAAATATTAATGGTTTGTATTCTCTGTTCTTATATGCCCCGTCAAATTGATGGATCCTGAATGATCGTCAATTTGAGACGAAGTTGATGAAACCGAGGAGTGGATAGGAATTTGGTGAAGATATCCGCCATTTGATCTGTTGTACTGATAGGATGTAACTTTATATTGTTTTGTTGAATGTGATCACGTAGAAATTTTTGATCTATTTCTATGTGTTTGGTTATGGAGTGGAAAACTGGGTTATTTGCTAATGCAATAGCGGACATGTTGTCGCAGTAGAGATTTGTTGGGTAGTGTTGTTGAATGCCAAAGTCGGCCAATAGTCTACGAGTCCATACAATATCTGATGTTAGAGCTGCAAGCGCCCTGTATTCTGATTATGTTGAAGATCTAGACACTGTTCTTTGTTTCTTTACTGTCCAATATATTAAGGATTCTCCTAGAAAAGAGCAGAAACCTGAGGTAGATCTTCTAGTGTTCGGATCTCCCGCCCAGTCTGCATCTGAAAAAGATTTTAAAACGAGATCAGTTTTGGTGATTGGTAACCCAAATTGTAATGTACCTTTTTATGTAGCGTAATAAACGTTTGAGTAAATAAAAATGTTTTGGAGACGGATCATGCATATTTTGAGACAATAAGTTGACACTGAACGCTATGTCAGGTCGTGTTATTGTAAGATATTGTAATGCTCCCGTAATACTTCTATACAGTGCTGGATCGTTAAAGAACTTGTCCAAACTGAAGTCTGCTGGGAATTTTGTGCATGTGCAATTGGATAGCGCATTGCAGTTGGTGAGATTCGCTTGTTGTAGTATGTTGATCGCATAGTTTTCCTATGATAGAAAATAGCTATTAGTATATTTCGAGATTTGAATGCCTAGAAAGTCGTGTACTTCTCCAAGATGTTTCATGGAGAAGGTAGAACCGAGTTTGGCAAGAATTGAAGAGATTTGAGACTTGTCATTTCCTGTAATTAATATATCATCAACATATATTAGTAAAAAAATTTGAATTTGAGCTTTGCGGTAAATGAGTAAAGATGGATATGCACTACTATGAGTAAACCCGAGTGTGAGGAGAAATGACGTGAACGTGTTGTACCACTGTCGTGGTGCTTGTTTTAGTCCATATATGGCCTTGTTTAGTCTGCACACGTGGTTCGGCCTAGATTTGTCCTCGAATCCTTTTGGTTGCCGGATGTAGACTGTTTCCGAGAGATTTCCATGCAGAAATGCATTGGCCACGTCCAATTACTGGACTGGCCATTGATGGTATAACGCAATGGCCAGCATAATGCGGATGGTAGGGAGTTTGACTACCGGACTGAATGTTTCAGTATAGTCGATGCCATACTCCTGATTGTTCCCTTGAGCCACTAGTCTCGCTTTTTATTTTGCTACGGAGCCGTCTTGGAGATATTTGGTTCTATACGTCCATTTGCTGCCAAGAATTTGACCATTATTCGGGTGTTCCACCAAGGTCCAAGTACCCTGTTTTTGCAAGGCAAGAACTTCTGATGCCATCGCTTTGACGCCAGTGTGAACTTTTGAATGCCTCGGCAAATGTGGTGGGATCCTGTTGAGTAGTAGTTTCCTAATGACAGTGGATGAGATTCAATCGATTTGTTGGTCGTAGCACACCAGTCTTGCTTCTGGTTGTCATTGGATGCGTAGGAATGACTGACTGGTCTCTGTGACTTGAGCCAGAGGAAGATGTATTCGGAGGAAACTAATTGGATTGTGATACTTCTCTTGTAAGCGGAATAGGAATGTCAGGGAGGTTGTTGTGAACAGAAAGTGTAGGTTTACCTACATTTGACGAGAGACTAATAGAAGCAGGTGTTAGTAATAGAGGACATATATCTTGTGAGTATTCTTGATTCGTAGATGTTAAGTTTGAGAAGGGAAAACTGGTCTCAATGAACTTAACATTCAGGGATACCGTTATCTTATTTGTTGCAAGATTTAAACAACGATATCCTCTGTATACATCAGAATATCCAAGAAAAACATATTTATGAGATTTTGGGTTAAGTTTGGTCGCACTATGAGGTGGAAGCAGCGGATAACATTCACACCCAAAAATTCTTAAACCTGTGTAGATTGGTTTCTTGTTAAACAATAGTTCAAGAGGCGATTTATGAGAGATACTACTCGATGGTAACCTGTTAATGAGAAACACAGCTGTGTTTACCGCATCGGGCCAGTAAGCGTGAGGTAGAGATGCTGTGAGGAGGAGCGTACGAGTTGTCTCAATTATATGACGATGCTTTCTTTCAGCTAGACCGTTTTGTTCGGGTGTATACGGGCATGAAAGCTGGTGGACAATTCCTTGTTTCGTCAGATAGTTTTTAAACATAGAGTTGACATACTCAGAGCCCCCATCGGTGCGCAGAATTTTAATTTTTTTCATAGTAAGCCTTTCTATTTGAGTTTGGAAATCTACAAATGTTTGAAAAACATCAGATTTATGTCGAATAGGAAAAATCCATGTGTATCTCGAAAAATCATCTACAAATATGACGTAAAATTTAAAGCCTTGAACTGAAAGCGTAGGTGATGGGCCCCAAACATCCGAGTGAATGAGGGCCAGCGGATGTGTTTGACGATGTGACGAGTTTTCAAACACAAGCTTATGAGTTTTAGATGCAATACAAGAAGTACAGAGATGTAATTGCTTATTCATGTTCAAAGACAAATTACAACTAGATATGAAATCATAGATCCGTTTATGCGGATGTCCTAGGCGATGATGCCAAGTATGCATAGATGATGTTGAAGCCGAAAACGCCAGATGTTGAGTTGCTGGAGACGTCATTGGAACTTTGTAGAGACCATTTTTACATGGTCCTTGAAGCAAAATTTGTTGTGTCGCTAAGTCCTTCAACATAAAACCGGAAGGATTAAAAGTAATAGATATGTTGTTATCTTGCGTTAATTGAGAAATCGAAAGTAAGTTAAATTTGAGAGAGGGAGTATGAAATATTTGAGACAAATTCAGCTTACGGCTGGGGGTCGGTAGTATTCCAGACCCTGTATGAGCTATTGGCACGGAATTGCCATCCCCAACTGTGATGTTGTCCGTTCCATGGTAGGGATTGGCTATAGACATGGTGTCCATAGAATTGGTAAGGTGCGAGGATGCTCCCGAGTCCAAGAACCATGTTGTGTCCTGAGTATCTGGATTGACTACTAGAGCCGTATTGCCCTGTTTGCTGGGCGGAACATACTGAGCATTGAGATGATGCCAGCATGTTTGAGCGTAGTGGCCCTTCTTGTAGCAAATTTGGCAGTAGATTTGGTTGTTTCGATCGATTCTTGGGGCAACCGAGGTGTTGTTTTGATCGTTTTGCTGATTTCTTGAGGACGACGATGGAACATAGGAATTCTTGCCTCTTGGACGACGGCTTTTTCCTCTGTTGTTAAATAGAGCCATCGTGTTATCAGAATGTGAGGCAAACCGAGTAGCATCCACCGTAAGGTTTATTTCTTCGCTCAGTAACAGAGGGTATATCTGATCGAGAGTCAGCGGTGAGCTCGTGGCACGAATGGTGGTTTTGAAGGATTGATACATTGGCGGTAACCCATTTAGGATGTGATGAATAATATCTTCGGGGTCAACTGTAGACCCTGCCGCCGATATTTGATCGACAATAACTTCGATCTCCAACAGGTATACCGTCATTGAGTTGTTCTTGAGCGATACATTATGCAGTGCATTTCTTAGTTGAATCACCTTTGAGCGATTTGTTGCTTGAAATCGAGTTTCCAGCTCCGTCCATATTTGTGCCGTAGAGTCAAGAGATATGACATACGGAAGGATCGACGAGGAAATGGTAGAACAAATGGAAGCTGGCAGTTTCTGGTCCGTGAGTATCCATTGCGAATACAGCGGATTTAGTTTGGATGTGCCGTCTTGATTTTGCAAGAACTGCATCGGAGGATCATTCTTGGGATCAAGAAATTGCAAGAACCCATTTGCACACAGTGTTTTGAGAACTTGCGATTTCCAGATGAGAAAGTTGTCGGGGGTGAGGGGCGAAGTCACCAGGTTCCGCAGATTGGATACAACAAATTTGAGAGTCGCTGAGATTGTGGCCTCGTCGGACATCGTGGTGTTGCTCCGTTCTTGCAGACGAGAAGAAGTTGAATCAGTCATGGCGTCGGATCTTAGCCTTCGTTGATACCATGTAGAAACTAAAGGGAAGAATATAGAGAAGACAGCGGAATGACAAACTGATATCTCATTGTTATATGTTGTACAGTAAGAGTATCTCTGTTTATATAGAGCACAGAGAAACGTAATATGAATTAATTACAAGTAAACCTATGAATCTTCTAAAGCAGTAAACTAAATATTAATGGTTTGTATTCTCTGTTCTTATAACCTTAATCTGTTGGTTGAGAGCTTAGACTTTCAACCAAGAGATCTTGGGTTCGAGTCTCTGTGTATGCATTGTGTGTGTGAGTTTGCCTTAGATGACCTAAATGTCCCACAAAAAAAAAAGAGTGTTGAAGATATTATGTTAGGATACCCTCACACAAAAATTTTAGAGGAAAAAGGAGGAGAGTGAGAGACCAACTCCTTGTTCATGCCAAAAAAGAAAGTCAATTAGAATTTTATGAA